GATATCTTAAAAGTTGAAAATTATGATGCAAAAGGTAGTTCCGAAATTTGTTATGCAAACTATAAATGAATGGACTTTGGTTAGGGCTACAATTTAAATACCTAGGGTGTGAATATAAAAATGTAATTATACTTTTTTATTTATTCAGGGAAATTTTGCTGTTGCAAAACAATACTTGAGAGATTCACATGATGTTATACTTAAAGAGGTAACTCTTTTAATTAAAAAAAAACTGTCAAACTTTGGTACACCATAAAATCTAAACTGTGTTTAAAAGACAGTCTTATAAAGAGAAATACAATTACTATTTTTTTTTAGGTAAACAATGTATCAGCTGTTGGGTTACATTGGAGACACCTATATGCTAAAGTCTATTGTAAAACTGCAAAAAAGTTTCAGAACGATATTGGGGCTAATTTTACTGCATTGGTTTCTGTTATTGGTCATCTAGGTAATTTAACCTTTTCAAATTTTATCAACTAAATTGTTTATTATTTGCAATAAGTGCAGTTTAACAACTTTTATTAAAATAATTTGTAATAAAAATGTTTTATAAAAATTTTTTATGTGTTATGGCATTATATAGACAGCAAGAGGTTTACTTTTTTTTAAATACATACTGCTGATATTCTATTATGACTTTCATTACAGGCTAGAGTGCAATATTACACTATAATGCTTTTGTTTTATTTTAAACAAATGTTTAATGTATCTTTAATTTTTTTTTTTTTTTTTAAGAAAAATGTCAATCCTTTGACAAAACCATTGCTACAAATCTTCTTGAGTTTGATGGATGGAGATGTTTGTTATTGTGCAATAGCCGTTTACAAAGTAAGTTTTAATTAGGTTGTTTTGTAACAATTTCATAGTTTTTTTCATTACAACAGTTTGATTGATTGTTTAATTTTTATTTATAATTATCTTAATTAATAAATTTAAATGTAAACTTTTGTTTATAAATAAATTCGTTGAAAAATTTTTTTTGTTTGTTAAATTTGTGTGCGTAAATATTTTTTTTTTATTAGATGATGAGTTCAAGCTTATTACATGTGAGATCAAAAAGCTTGCAACATTATCACAATTTGAAGGTGACAAATTAGAAGTAAGCCTTTCAATCAAAAATATATTGTTGTTAATTATCTTGTTTTTATAAAAACACAAGTTCTATAGAAATAGCATTACGCAAGGAAAACTGTTTACTTACTCAAATGGTTATTAAATGTTATGAAAGTTGATTGAGTGCAGAAAACTAACTTAGGGAAGAAAAAGCACAAAAATGACAAGAGTTAAGTCAACCAGCTTGATGCTTCTTTTTACAATAATTTGAAGTAACCATTACAATAAGAGGAAAAAAAATCTAAAGTTTTCTATACACACTCATAGGTTGGTAAAAATAAACTTTAAGTATTGTTACGAGGAATCACTAGTGGATTGGTCTGAGAAGCAAAGAACTGTTGCTTGCCTAAATGCAGGCAAAAGTTTTTTAACTCTGTCAAACTATACAACTGTTAGAATAAATATTACAAATCCCTTGCTTGTCCAAAATGTTTCTTTAGACATTGAGTACATTCATTAAAACTAAATTGGAAAGCAAAGCATTGGATACACTTACTAGGTTGTCATTAGTTCTAAAAGTATAATTAGTACAGTTATCAAACAATCAACAGGCTTGAGCTTCTCTCCCATCATTGTAATATTGCACCTTTTTCTTTTTGCAACAAATGATTGCTGCTTAAGTAAGCTATCATCACTTGCTAAACCAACCGAGTCTTTTTTGATTTTAGCCTTGATTCTCAAAATATTTGTTTATTTAGTTTTTTTCCTCAAACATCAGCGCTTTTGAATTCTGTACAGTCTTTTTTTTTTGCCAACTTTTGCAGCTTTATTAAGTCCTTTGTTAACTGGTTGTTCTTTTTTTAATTCAATTTGTTAACTTTCAATTAATTTGTGATTACTTGTAGCCTTGTAAGGAGTGACTTCATCATTATCATTATTATCATTATCATCGTCATCATTATTACTATTATCATTATCATCGTCATCATTATCACCAACACATTTTCATTATCATTGTCATAGTTATCATCTTTGTCATCATCATCATTATCATCATTATTATTTTTATCATTTGCAATATATGGATCTCTATTCGTTATTGCAACAAGGTCATCGGCTCACAGGATTTTATATTATAGCCATGCTGCTTAGTATTTTTAAATATTTTTTCAGTATTACCAATTAGAATGATATAAACTTTTTAGAAATTTTGAGCAAAAACTGTACATATAAGAGCGGTTTTAATAAATGCTTAGCATTACCGAATTCATCAAAAAGTAGAGTTTATGCATAGGGATCATAAAAATGATACTTGGGTATGTTTTTTTTTATTCGTTTTTATTAAATCAAGCTATAAACTAAATAAATCCACATTTCAAATTTCAATATTTTTTTATATCATCGTTTTTAAGTTTCTGAATTCAGCTAAACTTTATATAATATATTAGTTAACAAATCTTGTACTTGGGTTTTCAAAAACATATATAAAAAAAACATTTTCTAGAATTTTTTTTTATATATGTTTTCAAGAATATCTTTTTGCTGGATGTAATATTTACTAAATCGATGTCTAAATGTCTAAAAAATATATACTTTTAATAATATAAACAAAAAATATAAAGCTTTTGAAATGAAAAAGATTTTTTGGAAATTTGGTTTTAACTGTGAAGTGTTGCATTACCAAAACTGCTCATGTTACATTACTGAACTTTCTGGTTTTTTCTAATAAAAATGAATTTAAAAGGTCTATTTTGCAATAACTTATAAGTTATTTTTATAAGTTTATACTTCTTTACTCTTTTTTATCCGAAAAATAAAATTGATGCAATCTATAACTTTATATGTATTCAGAGGTGTGCATTATAACTTTAAGTGTACTCAGAGGTGCATCAAATAAAACACGTACTTTCAAAATACAGGATTTTCAGGGTTATCAACATCAAAACGGACCATCGATGAAAACAGGGCAAATTTTTTATTACAGAATATAAATCTATATATTGTTCATTTATGAAAACAAATTTTTTATAAGTAAATAAAGATTTTAATGCAATATTTATAGTTAAAAAATGATTTTATTTTGAATACACAAATAAGCAAAAAAATTATTTTTGATTATGTTAGAGTAAAAACTTTGCAACAACCCTCTGACATCTTTTTTTATTTTAATAGTAATAGATTTGTTAAGTATTTTTAAAGTAATTTTGAGAAAAAAATGTTTATTCTGATTCACTCCCAGCTGCAAGCTCCAGCTGCAAGCAACCAGCTGCAAGCAACCAGCTGCTAGCAACCAGCTGCAAGCAACCAGCTGCAAGCAACCAGCAGCAAGCAACCAGCAGCAAGCAACCAGCTGCAAGCTCCAGCTGCAAGCAACCACTATTAAGATGTGAGTTACTAGAAAACAAGAAAATCTATATATCAATTTATAAAAAATCATGATTAAAATCATTAAGTATCTTCTTTAAGTTAATTGGTCATAAGTTTGAGCATCATAATTTTTGCATAGATGCTTTAAATGCAAATGTAAATTACCAGTTTAATGTACAAAGTAAACAGTTATTTTTTCTGACAAATTTTTTCCAAAGAATGTAACGCTTTCTGGTTGTTTAATTACCTCAGTTTTTTTTACCTTTTATTTAAATATTTTTAACATACATTCAAGTTCTCCATAATATAATGTTCAGACCTACAAGAACTTTACACATGATAAAATTTTGTTCAAGAATGTATGTTAAGCTCAAATAAAACCAATAGTTCTTAACCCTATTCATACTGGATTGTGCCTTGAAGGAGCAATATAAATTTAAACAACTATAATTGTACTAATGCCTAACTATTTTTGCTTAAACTTTTCGACTTTTCATAATATATTATGCTACACCATTTCCAACATTAATGCATGACTCAAGGGGTCTCACACTGTTCTTATTGTGGTCTTGTCGACAACACCCTTCAACAAGAATTTTTAAAAACTTTACTTTGGAGCAGTTTTATTGATTAACTAAATTTTACAACTTCTTGAAAACATTTTTTATTGCAATATTTATATTCATTGTTTTATTTCAAAACACAAGCTATATATACAGATTGTTTCCATTTTTAATTTTTTCTCTTGATTTATTATATGAAATATTATCTGGCCCATTTTGCATAACTATTTTTTATTTCAAAACTATTTATTGTTGTTATGAATTTTTAAAAGTACAATGATACTAATGATACGAAGCCCTATATAACCAGAATCTGTTCTATATTTCCAAACAATTTTTTTTTAGTTTTAAACTTCCTGAACCTAATAATGTAGTAATTTTTTTTATATAAACCATTTTTTATGCCTGAAATTTTTTTTTTCAGAAATATTACTGTAAAGTAATAGTACTGCAGAACCTTTGTTACCTTTTTTTTCAAAGTTTAAAATTATATGTATATATATACATATATATATATATATATATATATATATATATATATATATATATATATATATATATATATATATATATATATATATATATACACATATATATGTAAAAAATTGAGTAAAAAATTGCGCTCATCCTGAAAATTTGGGAGGGAGAAAACTAATAATGGTTTACTTGATTTTATATTAATTTTTTTTTATAAAAACTTGTGAAACTGCTAACTACCATATGAGTAAGCACTTTTTATCCACTATCAACACACACAAAGATATATAACAATATAAAAACAACAACAGTCCAGAAAAAAATGGAGAAAACTAGTTAACCGTTCAATATATTATTGCATCATAGTAAATTATTTATCATAAAATATATATTGAGAGTTTGTTCAGATGATTTTCCTTACAGAGCTCTATCCTTTAAAAATCGATATTCTTTGTTAAATTTAGACTACAATCCTCAAAGACTTATATTAATATATAAAAACAATACAATTTTTTCAAACAATGATCCATCAGATTATGTTAAATTTAATGTTAAGTGTTGTTTTATAATAGAGTATCAAGAATTAAAAAAGAAAATTGATAACTTATAAGAAGAACTTCAGCACAAAATTGAAAAAAATAAAGATTTCTATGAAAAATTAACTTCAACCACATCAGTTATTACTATGAAACCAGACAAATTTGTGTATAAACATAATCCAAACAAATTGTGTTACTGCAATTTACTTATAAACAAACATTTGTTTTTAAAAAAGCAACTTTTATACCAGCCTTACATCTGTCAGTGTGTTTCATGAGTTATATAGTGCAGTATTGCCATTAATCAAAAGAAGATAAAGTGATATTAAAAAAACATCAACTGCTGTTTTTTGAAATGTAAAAAAACCCTAAACTATTTAGACCAAATAGAGTTATGCAACAAAGATGAATTTTTAATGATGCAATGACTTGGATTATTGACAACTGATCTTGCTGACAGGTTTAATATATCTTTAGGATTAGTCAGTGCAATATTTTCTACATTGGTGAAAGCTTCTAGCTAACTTGAGATGTTATAAGACAGAAAATATCAAACAGATTTAAGAAATTAAATTATTTAGACTTGCACTAAATTTCAAATATAACAGTTTTTTTATTGAAATACCTAAAAATTTTGACTTACTGAAACTAATATGGAGTGAATGCAAACACACAACAATATAAAAACATTAGTATCAGTAGCTCCAAATTCAGCAATAATTTCTTTAAATAATTTCTAAAGCTTACAGAGGCTAAATTTCAGGTAAAGAAATTACAAATTGCAACAACTATTTAGATTGCATTCCAAAATACTCTTGTATAATGTATGATAAAGGCTTTAATCTACCACACAGGTAGATTAAAGCCTTTATCATACATTATACAAGAGTATTTATACCATTATATTATATATATAATGTAAGTATATTTATCAAAAGTATTTATACCATTATAATATATATATATATATATATATATATATATATATATATATATATATATATATATATATATATATATATATATATATATATATATATATATATATATATATATATATATATATATATATATATATATGTATATATATATATATATATATATATATATATATATATATATATATATATATATATATATATATATATACACATATATATACATATATATACATATATACATATACAACCCTCAGAATTAGGGTCAGCATTCGGCAATGCCGACCTAACTGCTGACCTTAAAGTGTTTGAGTTCGGCAAAAAATTGCTGACCTCGTTTCTATGTTTTGTGGTAAGACCTATTTACCAATTATTTTTACCGACCTGATGCCAACTTTTAAAAGATTGGCAAGTTATTGTTGACCTAATTTTTCTTAATGTAAAAGTAATGGGATGGTATTCAGTAAATTAAAAATATCATCCCGCTTAATCATTGTTATACATAGAGATTTATAAAAAGGTGGCAGAATGATTTATACTTTATAAAAAGGTGACGGAATGGCATCCTGCTGCATCCTGCCTCACTTCAAGCTCTGTATACATGTATATATACATATACATATGTATACATTTTTTTTTCCAAAAAAAAAATTATTTTGATTTTTTTTGTTATGATAATAGTGATGTTAATATTTTTCTTGGTCATAGTTTGAAAAAACAATAAAGGAGAAAGCTTGGACAGCATTAAGTTTGGCTTATGAAAAATCAGTTACGTGTAAGATTTCTACTGACTTGGATAGGTAAATACTTTTTGAATAAAAAAGATGAATACCATATCTGCATTATGTACATAAATTATAAAAGTTTGTTTCTAAGCTTTATGTTTAGTTTTTTTTTCAATTTTATGATTTTGTTTTTTGATAGTTAACTATTTGTAAAAGTACCACTCTTCACAAAAAAAAGGACCACTCAAACACTCTTCTCAAAAAGCTAAATAAGTTTTTTAATATTGAAAACATAAAGGATTTTTTTTTTCTAGAATATAGTTGTTTATTAGAGCAATTCTGCAGTGTAAAATTTTTTTTTTTTAATTTCAAGTTTCTAAGGAATATAACATTTTATTTTTTTTAAAAGTGTCTGCTTTTTGGAAAATTGTCCCTAAATACGGACAGTTATAAATTATATGAAAAAAATATAGATGAATTGATAAATTCAATATTTTTATTTTCAATGTTTAAATATACACATAATAATAATACAAACAGAAAAATGTTCTGTTTGTATTATTATTATTATGTTCTGCAAACTATGTTCTGCAACATTTGTGCAAAAGAATTCTTTGCTTTTTATATATCTTTATACAAGGTTCACAAATCCACAAACGGCAACTTGACTTTTCTCAAGTTTTCCATAAAACTTACATCTCTGGCTTTTCATTTTCAAAAAACTTTGGGCACTTTGTGTACTTTTTTTTTGGCTTTTTTAGCAGGAGTTTTAACTTCTGCTGCTCAAATTTCAACATATGTTCATTTTAATAGCATCTTCTTCTTCTTCTCTTAACTGGTTTAACCATGTTTTTTCTGTAAAAGCTTTTTTGTTGACCAGCCACTGTTATGACATTTCTGTCTTTTTTTGCAGGATGCTAACAAGCATTTTGGATTTGAAGTTGGATTTGGATTTGATTTTGGATTTGAAGTTGATTTTGGATTTGGATTTGATTTTGGATTTGGTTTGGATTTGAAGTTGGATTTTTGGATTTGAAGTTGGATTTGGATTTGAAAAATTAAAGAATTAGTTAAAGAAAGAAATTAAAAAATTAGTTAAAGAAAGCTCTTTTAAATCGGATTTTCGCACAAGATTTTCTTAATTTTTTTCTCAGTATTTCTTGTATATTTTCTCAAGAAGCTTCTTCTTGAGAAATTAAGATTTAAAGTTGGAACTGAAGCTAGAGTTGCAGGCGGAAATAAGGTTTGTGTTTGTTGAGCAGTTTGAGGCAAAGAACTTGGGCTGCGTGGTGATTTTGTAACTGGTAATGATGTTATTAAAGTGTTATTAAAAGTTTGACGAATTGCTTCTATACAACTGTTCATTACTTTCGCATTGCCTTTGTTACCATTGAAACTAGTTTCATCACAATTCCACAAATCCAAAGCTTTACTAAAACCTATTTTTGCTAAATCAAAATGTTTTTTCAAAACATTTTGATTTAGCAAATTTTGCTAAATCAAAATGTTTTTTCAAAACATTTTGATTTAAAAATAATGGGCAATCATTTCTGGTGTGCACGATTCTGCTCTCAAAGATGCGATGCTTATAGCTGTTCTTTCGCTTAGTTCTAAGTGCCATCGACTCATAAATCCTTTTTACCATTTGTGACCAAGCATTTCATTTTTGTAACACCTTTCATTTTTAATTCAATAATCTCTCACTAAACTTTGAACTTGATCTAATCCTCTACCAAAGCCCCAATCACCAAGCATCTGAAGAAGGTGAACCAAGATTAACTCAATAAAAGGGTTTAATTTTGTTGTGTTACCACTACCAACTTCTAAAGTCTTATTGGATTTTCAATCGGATAACGTTGATTTTGGTATGCGGTAGAATTGAGCTGTGGCTCTTAAACTCAACTCGAGATTTTTAATCACTTTTTATTGTCTCCTTTAGTGTAAGGCTTCTTGTTTATTTTAATTTTTGCCATTTTAAGTTTAGTAAATTTAATTCAGTTACAGATTTATAGAGATTTTTAAAAATGAAGAAATGATGCACTTTTATGGTTACTTTGTGTACTTTTGCACTTTAACTTCAACAGTATAAGTGCAAAAGTACAAAATTAATAAACACGAAAGTGTGACAACTGAAAAAATAAAAAAAATGAAATAAATTCAGTCAGTGTGATAAAATAATAAAATAAATTAATTTTAACATAATAAAAAAGTTCAATTAAAGTGAAAAAATAATAAACATATTAACATATTAAATTTTAATTGGTTATAGGGATATTTATTGTGTTTGGTTTTAGGTGAAAACTAAAGAAAACCTTGTTTCCATCAACTTTTTTAACGGAGTAAGATTTTGAAAATCTAAAATTTTTTTTGGAATCAGCAGAAAATTTTCAACCAAATAGCTTTGTTTGTTTTTAAATTTAATTTTTTTAATCTTTCATGCTACGAACCTAATTTCTAAATAAAGGTTTGATTTTTAGGGTTATATTTTGTTTAAAATTAAATATCTTATTAAAACAATTATTTTAATAATTTTCTTTTGAACTTTTATAATTTTCCACAAACTAAAAATTAAAAACTTTTTAAAGTTTGCAATCATTTTTACTTTAAGTGAAGATATTTAGTTTTCCTGATAAGTGTCCGCTTTTGCGCATTGTCCAGTTTTTGGTACTTTTACTCAATAATAATAATTCTTTGAATGTAGTTTAATGATGATAAAAATATTATATTGTTATTTATAGTGTATTGTTATTTATTGTATTGTTATTTATTATTGTATTGTTATTGTATTGTTATTTATTGTATTATTATTTATTATTGTATTGTTATTGTATTGTTATTTATTTTTATTTTTTTATTATATTGTTATATTTGTTTGCACTCAATAGTGTATTAAATAATTATTAACTGAAACAACAATTTAAAAACATTTGTTTAAGAATAAATTGCTTTAAGAATTAATTGCTCTCAGATAGAGGGTTTAAGTTGAAGGTGAAGGTACATGGTATTTTTTTTGGCAGAAATATCAGAAAGATATATTCAAATAACCGCAGCCAATAATTAAAATTGAAATTTCATGTTTCTTTTTTTTTTTTTTTTATTGATAACTTATTATGTACCAAAACTTTGTTGTCTTTGGCACTACAGATAGTGTAATAAATTTCAAAATATAATAAGAATACATTTGTTTTTTAGAATTATATATGTTATATATATTTACATATATGTAAACATATATATTTAAAATTTAAAACGTGTGTGAAAAGTATTTCATGTATTTTAGCAGGAAAAAATTAAATTTGAAAAAAAAGTAAATTAATTGGAAAAAAAGTTCCAAAGGTATAATCTGTATTGGATGTTGCAACAAAAACAAAGAATATTTGAACCCTACAAAATAAAGCTCAAATTGCTTTAAAATATCTAGTAAGAAAAGTATATAGATAAAGTGTGATGTTAAAGTGAACTCTTTTTCTACTGAAATATGTCCAGAAGTGTTTATCTTTTTTTTTTTTCTTTTTTTATCATTTTAAATCAGTCACTTTTTGTAAAAACAGTTTTAGTTTCTTAAATGCAAGATATAAAAAGTATTTTTACAGAAAGGAAAAAATGTTAAAAGTGCAGAAATCTCCTGGCAAAGAAGAAGAGTTACTATTTCAATTCTTGGCAGAATATAAGAGGTGTCTGAATTATGTTCAATCTGTAGTCTGGCAAGGGACACTGGAAGTAACATAGAGTTGAACTTAAGAGAGTATATTGACCCCCTCTTACCCCAGGAAAAAAACAGCAAGCTTATACTAATGCCTCAATGTGTAGAGATTGTTATATATATATATATATATATATATATATATATATATATATATATATATATATATATATATATATATATATATATATATATATATATATATATATATATATATATATATATATATATAGGATATATATAAACCAGAGCTGTATATCAAGAGTACTATTTTCAAAAAATAGTACTCTTGACCTTAACTATGTTCTTAAAAGAAAAAAACTATTACTCAGCATGGTTACAATCGTGGAGGACTAGATTGTCAAATCAAAGCTAGATTGTCAAATCAAAGGATCTAATTGTCAAAAAGTTCTAAGGTCATTTGGTAAGATGATAACTGCAGCGCTGCTGAGGTAATAAAAGAGTCTTAACACACAAAGAAAATTTAAAGCAGGTAAATATTAATAAATAAAACATTATTAACATACTTAAAGATCTTAATAAGATGTATCATTTTATTTGTAGTGACTGAGAGATGTTTTGGAATGACATTAGATTGGTCTTATAGTTACAAATTTAGAGCTTTCATCAACTCCATGGACTACATGAACAATTATGTTTAAGAAATTTTTAACATCAGTATATCACTCGGATGGAAGTACCATATCATTAAAAATCACTTGAATGATTTTTTGGATCGCCATCAGATGTCTCTCTGTCTGACATCAGAAAAAACATTAGAAGCTGTTCACAAGAATATTGGAATCAAACTGTTCTCATGGAATGAAACTAAGAAGAATGGCTGAAACATGCAGCTCAATTAGAGTATAAAGGTTGTGTATTGGATAACGTTGGTTTAGATGAAGAACTTGTATATATATAAAATACTATAGTTTACTTATAAATTTCATTTTAACTTCTTTTTTTCCAAATTTTTTAAATCTATGTTGGATATAAGAGAAATTTTGATGAGACAACTATAATAGTATATTTTTAAACTATTAAAAATATTTGTAGCTATTGTTTGAATTTAAATTCACAAAAATTTTTTTTTTCTTGGCATTTTAAATTTGATTAAAAAATTTAACAAAAACAATATATTAATATAGGGGTGGCAGAAGGATATAGTAAGGGGGGAGGGTGCTAAAAATATCTTTCAAATTTTATTAAACTAACTTTAATTGCTTCAATGTTTTCTTAGGGTAAAATGTTAGTAATACAACTGTTAACAAATAACTGTTTAAAAATAATATTATTTTTTTAATAATATTAATTTTAAATATTATTATTTTAAAATATTATTATTTTGCAGTGATTTTTTGTTGATCAAGATTAAACATTTTGAAATAACAGACTTAAAGGTTGATGGACATGAAGGAGGGAGGAGCTGTAATACCAAAGCCCCATACATTTTTAAAAGTGAGGTGGCTGAAGCCCCTTAAGCTTCGTCTGTTCCACCAGCCCAACATTTATACATAATGATTTCAAATTGTAATATTAATTCTGCTCTATAGGGTCTGTTTAAGTTATCTGCAGCACCAAAGACAACTAGGTTATGATAGTAAAAATATTATCACTATTAAAAATTAAAAAAATCATCAAATTCTCAATTTAGGAGCGGCTCCAATTTTAATTTTTTGTTTATTGATAATCTACTAAACTCACCTGTCAATTCTGTGAAGAAAAAATCCAGGTACTTTCACTTTCAACCTAAACCCCCTATCTGGGAGCATCTTTATATTTATTGTATTTAAAACATCTTTATATTTATTATATTTAAAATGAATCAAACATAAGTATATGTTGTTATTTTCATATATTTATTTTGTTCAATATGTGTTTTTATTTATTCAATTATTTCATTTGAAACCATGTGAATTTTCATCTGTTAAAATCGTGTGAGTTTTTATCTGTGTTTAAACATTTTTTTTCAGTAAACTGCATCACAAAGCATATATGGAGATGTTTTTATATTGTGATGAGCTTATTGAAAATGAAGGTCAGTCATAATTTTTAAGGAATATTTTTGTACAAATTACTTTTTTATTTAAGGGTAAACAATTTAACAAGTGAATTAAAAGTAGCCTCCTCGTCTGTAGTGGCCTTCTCGGCCTTGAGGAGGTGAAGTAAAATAAAAAAAAATTAAAAAAAAAAAATTGATATGAGTTAAACTTTAATCCCAAAAAAGTTTTGAATGGCTATAGCTGATCTTAGAAAAAAAAATTAAATGAACATTATTGAACTTTAACCCAGTTTTTAAGTGAACCAAAAAATTTACAATTAAAAAATTACTCGCTTTGAAATTTTAACAGTTAATTGAAGAGTGTGTAATCTATTATTTAAATAACCATTTTAACAAATTTTAGTTTTGAAGTTTAATAAAATATATTACTTTAGGCTGAACATATTTTTTGCCATGACAATTTTTAGTCTGTATATGTATTACTTGAGTATATATTTCTACATGTAATAACGTATTTATAAGATATTAAATTATATGGTATACAATATAATATTAGAAAATTCAGAAATGAAATGCTGTTATGCAAAAACAATGGTTGATAGTCTTTTAAAAGCAATGGCAATGAATTCATCTAAAGCGCGCATTGCTTTTCCAAGATTGTTGCAAGTTGTTAACTTGTTTCCATCCACTGGCGAACTTTTTGAAAAACAGGTATTTATTTATGTTTGATTGTTTTAAAACAGTTAAAATAAGTAATATAAAAGAGGTAAATTAAAAACAAAAAACTTTTATATAATTAAATGTATTATTATTGTTTGTTGTTTATTTTATATTTATTTATGCCCACTTTTTTTTCCAGAGCAGTCAAGTACCATGTTGGATGTTTTTAGGTTGGATTAATCAAATTGTTTCAATGATAGACATGCCTATAGTTGTCCATTTAAAACCAATTATTGATGGTATAGTAAAATCATATAAACAAGCATTGTCTTACCCTCTGAAAGTAAGCAGCAAACAGTTTACTTTCTCCACTGTTGACTCACAAAACAAAGAATATTTGAAGTGGTAGGTCTGTTGTTATTATTTTTTTATATTACAAATGGATCTTTTTCTTTATTTCTTGTTATAGGCTACTGAGATGTATCAATATACCAGTTATAGATGAATTTGCAAGAGCTCTCTATCAGCTTTCTGATCCTGTCAGTCTTGTTAAGGTTTGCTTTGATCTTTAATTATTTTTTTTTGTATATATATATATATATATATATATATATATATATATATATATATATATATATATATATATATATATATATATATATATATATATATATATATATATATATATATTTGTTTGTACTATTAAGTATTACCCTTTCAAAATTTTTTTGTACATCAAAAAAATAAAGTTAAATCTTTAAAAATAAATTAGAATTTTTATAATGTTAAGAAATTAAAAATATAAAGTTTTTATACTAATAAATTATTCTTGTTAAATGTTGTAGTAATGTTGCTTAATATAAAAAAAAAAAATTATTTCAACATTCAATTTTAAAATTTATAAAATTTAACTTGAAATAAAAATAAAGTTATAATAATTTAAATTTATAATGTTATCTTCTTTTAAATTTATAATGTTATCTTCTTTTAAGTTTATAATGTTATCATTTTTAAATTTTATAAAAACTAAAAAGTATATTAATTTAAAAAGGACTATTGAAACATTAAGCAATTAAGTGGTGTAGTGGCGTTGATTGTGGTGTAGTGGTAGAAAAAAATGTCAAGTTGTTTTGTAACTGCCACTGTTGTTGTGGTTTTAAAGCTGTTTATTAAGGGTTCAAGTGAAGAACTATAATGTTTTCAACATCTTTTAAAACAGTTTTATATTTTATGCTTTTCGCCACCACTTTTGATTTAAGTTGAGTAAAATTATTTTGCATTTATATAGCATTCATATAGTGATGAACATTCAGAATATCCTCAGATTACAGGTTTGTACTTATCTACATGAAGGTAAGGAGAAAACATACTTTTAGCACCCAACAAGGCTGGATTTTATTAACAACAAAGCTGGATGTAACAGTGTTTTTTTTAACTTTATTTTTAACATGATTTTGTTTCTTTATGATTACAAAATTATATTTAAAAAAAAAATGAGACCAATATAAGACAAACAATGAAAATTTGATTTTAATCATATCTTTTTTACTAGAATGAGACAGCTAGGTCATGCTCCCTCATATTTATTGTTTTTTTTATTATTTATTAATTTTTTTTTATTACTATTTTTTAAAAAAGTTTTTCTGATACATTTTAAAGGATTTTCTTGAGCAAATAAAGGGTTATGTTTCAAATGGTTCAAAAGATGAAATAAGAAAATGTTATAAATCCATCAATGATTTGTTGTTAAGTGCAAACAGTAGACAAAGTTCAGAATCTATACTGAAAGGGCGCGTTTTCATAGAATTTGCAAAGGTAATTTTTATTTGATAATGAAGATCTTATAATTATTGAAACATATCTAAAAAAAGTTATTTAAATAAAATAAAATACTTGTATATATATATATATATATATATATATATATATATATATATATATATATATATATATATATATATATGTCAAAAAATCATGTTTTTAATGCAATAAAATCTATATATATAATATGTTGACTAAGTCAACATGAACAAACATAAACAAATATATCATAAAATATTACTTTACTTATACAAAATGGTCAACTGTTAAATAAAAAGTTTGACATTTTATGGTTAAAGTAATTTTACTATTTGTAAATAAATTTAACTCTACCAAGCGGCCAATATCATTTGGGTATATCTGGATAATTGACTTATACAATATCATCTATTTTTATTTGGCATTTTTCTTGATTCATTTTTTGCAATTTTGCCAAGAAACCATCTTGATAAAGAGAGAAACCATTTTAACATTCACAGGATTGATAAGCAGCGATACTATATGCTATGCAAGATCAGTTGGTAAAAATACTTATTGATTGATTTTTGTGGTTGAAGTTGTTTGTAAATATTTGGGGATTTATATAATTGGGAAATGATGAAACCATTGATCAAAATTATAACTTTAACTAGAGTTTTATCATCCCAATCAATTCCATCAATCCATAACTCTTACATAATCATTTTGATGCAAATGATGTAGGGTGATAAAAAACCATGTGGATCAAATAATGTTGCTATCTTTCTAAGCAAGAATCATTTTGTATATAAAGAGCTTGATTAATTAGTATCTACATTTAAAATAGTTCAGTCTTAAAAGGAAGAAGAGTGACAAAGAACAAAGATAAAACTGATTAGGTGAAGAGCTGTTAAATGATAAAAAAATAGTCTGAGGTATCAAACCTGGTTTCATGCATATAGGTGAATTGATGCATATGTATATGCCTAGGCAAATTCAATCCCTTGGTAAAGTATATCCCTATGCTCAGGCCAAGCCTTTGACTGTTGGAATTCAATCAAAAGATAATAACCAACAGATTTGAAAATGAAACAGCCAAATTATAATTAAACTTACAAAGAGTAAGTAAGTCTGGTGAATTATTTAGTAATAATTAGGTAAGATTCATGTGATATATATCAATTGAATATTTAGGTGGTGGTAATAGTTATTTATGTTATATATTTTAAAATATTTTAGTCATGCTTCAAGTTTAAGATGACTTGACTCAATCATATGTCATCTTGGGGTGCCATGATTGTTAAAAGAATTATGGAGTTGTCTTAGTCCTTTAAATTATTTTAAAATCATATATAAGGGCTTATATATATATATATATATATATATATATATATATATATATATATATATATATATATATATATATATATATATATATATATATATATATATATATATGAGTATCAGTTGTAACATTTGACATTAAAAACAATCCATAAATAGAAATGACTTGAAACCGTTGTAACCATGACAGTTGTAATGAAAAATCCAATGCTTAAAAACAACAAATAAAATGACTCAATCAATGATGTATGAAAAAAAGTATCAATGATTCTTAACAATCATATATATTATGTTAAAATCATTATCAAAATTCTCAATTATATATTTATACAACCCTTACAACATTATATATATATATATATATATATATATATATATATATATATATATATATATATATATATATATATATATATATATATATATATATATATATATATATATATATATATATATATATATATATACATATATAACCCTTACAACATATATTTATACAACCCTTACAACATTAAAACCATGCAATGGTATGATAAAATGATTTTTTGTTAAATGTTTTTTTTACTTTTAAGTATTTTTATATAGTAAAAAAAAAAAAGAGTTACTGAGTTTAGTATGTGTTTATACTTTTTTGCTTTTTTTTTTTCCCCTCTTTCTTCGTGGAGTTGTTTTTATAATATATTGATTACTTTTTTAAAATTTTTTATAAAGATTTATATATTGTTTTTTTTTTTTTTTTTTTTAAATATATTTACTTTTAAAAATATCTTTATTTGATTGTTTTACTATAAAACTTTTTATGAGTAAAATGTAATCCTTAGTAGCTGATCTATAGTACTGCCGTGCTAAGTGAAAAAGCATTATCTCCAATTTTGGTCAAAATTGAGATATTGCTACCAATGGTTAACAATGTGGTTTTATACCATTTTTCGCAACAAAAAAGCGAAAAATGGTATAAAACCACATTATATCCAATATTTAACATTGAAAATAAGCATTTGAAATTAAGAAAATAAACAGTAAGTCCATAATTTTTGTGAAACTAGAAGCAAAAATACAGTAAATAACAAAAAGATTTAAAAACTCATAAAATGAATTCTATGATATAAAATTAGTATATAAACGTTTATTTTAGGATTGTATGTTAATTATGCTTGGTACACGGATCAGTAATGTGTCTAAACTTGTTTAGTCGATTTCCGGACATTTTACTCAGATGGACATACTGCTTTTTTGCTTAGCATGGTAGAGTAGATAATGTATTTTTTATTTTTACAGAAATTTTCAAGTTATGTGGAATCTCTGTTTGGTAAAGATGGCGAAAAAGTTCTTAAGATGTCATTAAATGTATTTTTTTTTTATATTTATTAATTATTTTTTTTCTCTTTGGTATTTGAAATTTTAAAAATAATAAAATTGTATTTATTAAAATGCAAAAGAATCAGTTTTAACACTTTTGTTCATGCTTTATTTATTTATTTTTTCAATATCAGTTTTAAATAATTTTAGTAAAAAAAAAATATTTTCTCAATAAGGTTTTCTTTCCTTTGTCTAATTTTTTTAATGATAATCTTATTAATATAATAAATAATTTTATTATATTAATAAAAACTTTTTTTTTATAGTATATATATATATATATATATATATATATATATATATATATATACACACACACATATATGTATAGTAGACACTAGATAATAGATATCGTATAAGTTGATACCGAGAAGAATGGTATCATATCGCGTGGTATCGCTTATATACTAATGTCGATACTATCAGTATTGGTTCGATGCCACTCAATACCGAAAAGGATGGTCTCCTATCGTGTGGTATTGTTTATGTACCAATGTCGATAATATCAGTATCGCTTCGATACCAAATGATACCGATAATAAAAGGAATCATATAGTATCGCATGGTGATGAATCGAGGCTCTCAATTAAACAAAAAAGTAATAAAATAAAATGTGACGTATTGAATTTTTTATTAACAAAATACAAGTACAATTGCTTTTTAGAGATTTAGTTATAGTTGTTTAACAATCTACAATACTTTGGCTATTGTATAATCTTTGTTTTTTCCTTTGTTGTACTTTCGCTGGTATTTTAGGACTTTCTTCTATTAATATTTTAATAATTTTAATAAAATTAATAAAAACTAAAAAAAATTAAGCCCTTCAGAAAGACTTGAACCTAGATCTCGGGAATCACTGGCTATAACTTTATCCGCTTGGCCAAACTACTACAATATAGAGTTAAGTTGTTATATAAAAAACTAATTCTGCCGGTAATGAATCTCAGGATTATTTCCCAGCATTGTGTAGATTAGTTTTCTATAATAACTAAAGTATACTTATGTTTAATTGTTTAAAACTAAAGTTTAGTTGTTGAATGTTGAACACAGAACAAAAGACCAGGCGAGATTTACGATACCATGAGAGATTTAACTAAAGTAACGATACCAGATGTGAAATTAAAATGATGATGCGATATCACAGAATTAATTAAATTTAAATAAATGTAATGACTGTTAAGAAATCAATTCCCTTTGAACAATCATTTCTCATACTCTTTTAAAATAGTCGTTTAAGATTGCATCACAACAATTCCCTTAAAAGAATTATATAAAAAAACTCTCTTTAGTGATTGCAAAACTGCTCCCTGTAATTAATTTTAATTCCGATTAATTCTGCACAGAAAATTTTTTCCTGGATGGAATAAAGATTCAATAGAGTTCGAATAACAATATGAGAAACTGCACACAGCAGGGGCGGATCCAGGTCATTGTTCTAGGTAGTAAAAAAATATATAAAAAAATAAGACTTATGTTTTTTTTTTTAATATAAAACAACTGTTTCATTTGATCATTTAGAATGATTTTAGAAAGGTTATATGATAGTTTGCTAATAAATATGTTGAATGGTTATATAAATAGTTTATTTTATATAATTATATATATTATATCTAGTTTATTATATATATTATATATATTATATCTAATTATATATATTATATCTAGGTTGTATAAGATTTTTATTTTTTTGATAAAAATAATAAAATGTTGAATTACAGTTTTTTGTATTTTTTCTTATTTTTTTAACTTTATCAATAATACTTTAAAGTTTGACATTTCCTAGGGAGGGGAGAGGGTAGTACCCCGAATACTTCCCCTCTTTCCTTTTTGTCCACCCTTTACACACTGTTTAACATATTTAAACTATTTGTAATAATTTATTATAGAAATAAATGTTAAACAAAATATTTTCACGATAGAAAAAATCTAAAAAGTTTTTCTTATCCTTTATATTGTACAAAACAATACCAATATAAGCGATAACGTTTGATACTATTACAGCGTGATCTCAATATCAATACTGTAAGGTATTGCATCAAGACCAAACAATACCAACATAACCAATACTTTCGATATCAGTATCGCATGATCTTGATGTCAATACTGTAATGTATCACATTGAGACCAAACGATACCAACATAACCAATATTTTCTATACCAGTATTGCATGATCTCGATGTCAATACTGTAAAGTATTGCATCAAGACCAAGCGATATCAATATTAACAATACTTTTGATACCAGTATCGCGTGATTTCGATACCAATACTGTATGATATCGTGATTTCGATACCAATACCAGACAAGAAATCAAGACTCAAGACCAATTATCTAGTCTCTAATATATATATAAATATTTGTATATATATGTATAATGTATATATAAATATGTGTATATATATATATATATATATATATATATATATATATATATATATATATATATATATATATATATATATATATATATATATATATATATATATATATATATATATATATATATATATATATATATATATATATATATATATATATATATATATATATATATATATATATATATATATATATATATATATATATATATATATATATATATAATCAAAGCAGATTGCTTCACAGTCAAAAGTGTTCTTAACGTATAGATGTGCAGCTCTTTTCCTCTGATAAAACATTTCAGCTTTTCTCTGATGAAGCTCAAGTGAATCCTTTAAAATATTTTCATTAAGTAACAAATTATTAGCAACATCAGAAACATTAGGTATTTGACAATCTATTAACTTATTTAATTTTAAATCTTTAAATTTAAATTTAAATCTTTGTTAGATGACAGAATGAGCAAGTTTTTCTAGGGTATCCATATGAAATGTTAAATTTTGTATTGAAATTTATTACAATAATTTTCATACAAACACTTTTCTAAAGGATACTTTTTTTTAAACATGCAGTACATTTTGAAAATATTTAAGTCTTCTTGGAGGTAAAGCCTGGTAGATTTTGTTCTAGCATAATGAGCAGATCGTGCTTGAAATGACTTAATATGCACTAACATACTAATATTTTCAGCAGAAAAAGCATGACTTCTGTTTTTATGACTTCTCTTTCTTTTCTTTTCATGTTTTTACAACGTAGACCTAATAATTAAATATATATATATATATATATATATATATATATATATATATATATATATATATATATATATATATATATATAAATATATATATATATATATATATATATATATATATATATATATATATATATATATATATATATATATATATATATATATATACACACACACACACACATGGAAAAAAAACTGCTTTTTATGGAATTATAAGTTTCATCTCTATAGGCCAATCATCAGCCATGTACTATATTTAAAACAAACAAATGCTGTTAATAAAATTACAAAATACAGTGAAGCGACATCTGACGTCTCTATAGAGACAAAGCAAGAAAACCTAAAAGAAAATTGTATATAAATTAGCTAATCGCTAGTTTATTGCTAGAAAATTGTATATAAATCAGCTAATCATAAAATGAAAGATGGAATTTATTTTTATGTCTACAATTTGAAACCAACTTATTCCTTTTGTTTAACAGATTTTCCCCTGTATGCGTTAAAATATAAAACTTTTCATTAAGACAAAAGTTTCAAATTTTGTACAAAGGATTATATGTTTGGCAGTGCTTGATAATTTTCCACTTAGTAATAAACAAAAAGTTTTTCTTCTTTAGGTTTCCAAATTTCTTTAGATAATTTCAGATCATCGCTGTGTTTAATTTAATTAAAAGATTTGCATACCTTAACTTGAAATGGTTTACAAACCTTTAATTGAAAGGGGTCTCATTAACACCAATATAAACTTTTTCTGTGTAATCTGGTTTATTGGATGAAACAGTAGCTTGGTACACAATATTCTTATTTAGACGCTGGTTGTTCATAATGCAGGTAGATTTATTGATGCAGTTGCAGGTTTTTGTTGCTGTTAATTTATGATTGTATAAAATATTTTGATTATGCGAATTAATTTAAACTTACATTTGGCATTACATTTAAATTAAACTTACATTTGGCATACACGAGTAGCTAATTTTAATAATGTTTCTGTTAAAAATCTTGTGTAATAAATGACCAACAGGAGCGCTTACATCAATTTTTTTTCAAAAAGTTTATCTATCTTTGTTGCAACATTTTTACTATATGCGGGATTATACCAAATAATGTTCTGTTTGTGATTTTTGTCGGTGACCCCTTTTAAGTTAAGGTATGCAAACCATTTACAATCTTTTAATTTAATTAAACACAGCAATGATACAGAATTATCTAATGAAATTTGGAAACTTAATAATCCATCATCTAAAATTTGCAATCTTTGTCTTAATGAAAAGTTTTATATTTTAACGCATACAGAGAAAAATCTGTTGAACAAAAGAAACGTGTTGATTTCAAAAATAAATTCCTTCTTTCGTTTTATAATACTAGCGATTAGCTTATTTATATACAATTTTCTTTGACGTTTTCTTGTTTTGTCTATATAAAGATGTCAAATGTTGCTCCCCTGTATTTTGTAATTTTATTAACAGTTTTTTGTTTGTTTTTGATATAGTACATGGCTTATGATTGCCGTATAGGCATGAAACTTATAGTTTCATGAAAAGTTGTTTTTTCTCTATGTAAATAAAAATATATATATATACATCGCTCTTTTTAGAAAGTTGTTTACTTTATTATTGAGCATTTAAACATTAAACATCAATTGATATATATATAATATATATATATATATATATATATATATATATATATATATATATATATATATATATATATATATATATATATATATATATATATATATATATATAATAGCATTGTTTTTATGCAATAAAATCTAAAATAATAGTCTGCATATATATATATATATATATATATATATATATATATATATATATATATATATATGTGTATATA